GGCGCGGCGGGCGCGCCCGCGGGAGGCGCGGCGGCGGGCGGGGCCAAGGGTAACGACGGCAAGGGCCCCGCGCTCGGCATCCAGCGGCCCGGCTTCGGCGGCGGCGGCCAGGGCGGCGGCCAGAACAGGACGGTGCTCACCATGGAGGACCTGGGCATGGCCGTGGGCGAGTACGGCGTCAACGTCAAGAGGAGCGAGTTCTACAGGTGAAGGGGAGGGGTAGCAGGGTTATTTTTATTTGGTTCTTGTGAGCGGCGGCATGGGACGCACGGCTTCCCATGTTTACACGTCGGGCGTTCATACGGGGTTCTCTGGCGGGATTCAGGGGTTCGGGTCATGATCATTACACATTGGCGTTGTCTTTCGTATACTCTTTCTTCTAGACCAGGCAGGCGAGAATCGGCCTGCCCCTCATCGTTGGAATAACAGACCGGGGGAGCACGCGGGCCCCTCTACTCGGCGCGACGCCGAGGGCTGAATAGCGGCGTTTACACACACTTGGCTAAACATGAATGGCTTTTCCATGGCGCCTGTCTGTGTCTACCTCGCCGTTCCAATGCCGCTTGTATGTACAGTAGAAATACAGCGGCATCGCCGTGCCGTCTTTTTGGGTATGTGCCTCGTATAACGCCTGTAAATCGACATTGGTATTTTGATAGTGTACCGAACCGTCGCCTTAGTCTCTTCCCCAGATGAAGGGTTTCCTCGTGCTAGGTTCCCCGCGCATATCATGTCAGCATGAGAAAGACTCGAGATGGGGTCGCAAAAGGACCAGGAAACTCACGGCGAGAACTCGCCCAGCTTGTGGCCGACCATGTCCTCGGTGATGGTTACCTCGTGGTAGACCTTGCCGTTGTAGACCTGAAACTTTAGGCCGACAAAGTTGGGCAGGATGGTGGCGGCGCGGGCCTGCGTGCGGATCGGCTTGGCCGTCTGGCCGGGCAGGAGCTTGGGGATCGGGAGGCTGGAGGGTTGCGCTGTAAGCGGCGGGTTTGTAGGGGGAAAGAGAGTCTGTCTGCCTGCCGACCGGAGGGGCTCTTACGGGACAATGTGCGGGCCTGCGGGACGGAGTTGTCAACAGGGTGGGCGGGCAAAGAAAGGGGCGCATGATGGGGGAACTCACCCTTCCACACCGATCGCTTGAACAGACACCGTGTGGGCTGCATGCTGGGGAGAGTCAATGGCAGCTGAGCGGTTCGCCAGTGCTGCTTTTGCTGGCCCGCGCTTGGAGCGTTTAGCATCGCATCGACGGCAGGGTGAAGCTCTGGAAATCCTCGTCGGCGATGCGGGACCCACTCGCACGTGATTCGACGGTGGGATGTGGGGCATGACAATTCTCTGGGTGTTAGTCAGCGCAAGCGCTTCCAAATCATAGCTCGTAAATGCGGACCACCAGAGGTTGGCCAAGCATCCAAGTCCGGCTCACTGCGACCTCAAGCCCTATTGGAAGTGCAGCATTAGCACTCGATTTGTCAACATCCCCGTCGTGGCCTTTTGCCAGTGGCAGCATCGCCCTATCCCTATGCAAATACTGGCCGCCGAATGCACATGGCGAATAGAGATTACTCATCGTGGTCGGGCTGCAGTGCCGAACCCGACCACGACTGGCGATGCTGCCTCGTAGAATGGAATGGATTCCGTGTTTATGGAATATCTACAGCATCTCTTCATCGGGAACATTTATATAGCACGCGTCTTTTCTCTCCCTCGTCCCTGAGTTCGTGATCATTATCATCCACACCAAGACACTCAACACCCTCCATTCCACTTCTTCAACAGCATAGAATCCAGCAATATAAAATAGCCCAAAATAGCCATGGCAACTACATCAGCAGCGCCCTCCACCACGGTGGTCCGAGATGTCGCCCCTGGCATCACCCTTTTCAGCATCCCCTTCACCAAGGGCCCCCTCAAGCTCGGCGGCGCCATGACGGTCATCAAGCTCTCCACCAGCGGCGCCCTAGCCGTCGTGTCCCCCATCGCCCTCACCGACGACGTCCGGGCCAAGCTCGCCTCCCTGGGCGGCGAGGTCCGGTACCTGGTGTCCCCCAACCTCGAGCACCACATCCACATCAGCGCCTGGGCCACCGCCTTCCCCGGCACGCACGTCGTTGTGGCCGAGGGCCTGCCCGAGAGGCGCGAGGCGCGGCCCGAGACCAGGGGCACGACCTACGGCACCGTCCTCACGGCCGCCAATAAAAGCAGCACCCGCGTCGGCGCCGACTTCGACGCCGACCTCGACTGCGAGTACGTCGACGGCAGCAAGAGCCGCGAGCTGGTGCTGCTGCACCGCGCCTCGGGCAGCCTGATCGAGGGCGACGTCGTCTTTAACCTGCCGGCCCGCGAGGCCTTTTCCGCCTCGGGCGTCGACCCGGCCGCGGGGTTTGTCGCGAGGCTGGTGGGCGCCGTGTTGCAGACGGCGAGCCCGGCCTGGCAGAGGAGGGTGTCGTGGTACGCGGCCGCGTCGGACCGGGCGCGCTTCGCAGAGTCTGTCAAGCGGATCAACGGCTGGGAGTTTGACAGGATCATTCCCTGCCACGGGGACGTCATCGAGTCGGGCGGCAAGAAGGTGTTTGCCGACATCTTTGAGCCGTATCTGAAGATGTAACCTGGACCGTTTGCTTTCTTTCTGTGTTTTTGTTTTCAGGGGCGTCTTTGTCACTTCTGTTTTGCCCACTACTCAGGATACACCCCTTGTGTCACTCCATGTCTACCTGCCGCAGTACTTAAATTCTAGCTGGTAATAATAAAGAACCAAAAGGTAAATCACAATAGCATTGAACAGGACTAATTCTTCTGCAGCTTCCACTCGGTCCACTGCTTCACCGCGGTCCCTCCGCACGTCATGTGGCCACTGGCAGACACCTTGCCGTTCTTGGCATAATCCTCGACAGATTTTTCGATGAGGTCTATAACGTTTTGTCCACCAACATAGAAGGCCGAGTTGCCTCTGCTCTTGGAGGCCCTAAAGGAAAACTTGCAGCCGTTGGCCTTGAGGTCCCTCCAGGGCTTGTCCACAACCTCCTGGGTCCAGTTAGTGTTGATGTCCCCCTGGATGTTGCGGATGATCTGCTCGCAGTCGGCCACGGACGGCGAGTCGTCGTTGGTGCTGTCCTTGTCGTACTCGTACTGGCCGCAGTGGGAAAGCCCCGCGGGCGGGTCGCACGGCCAGTTCGGCGTCTAGCCCTTCCCCGGGGAGCCTATCCGCCTGGTTGTGGCGTACCACGACCACCAGGCGGCCGCGGGGCTGCAGACGGGGAGGGAGATGAATCCGGGCGTGGTGATGTCCTGGTTGTACAGCGCATCGGCGGTGTTTTCGTCGCTGACATCGACCCTGCCGGGGCGCGCACCGTTCTTCATGTCGTTCTTCACATACGTGCGCATCGCTCCGGGCGACGATGTCGCCCTTGGTGAGGCCGCCATGGGCTTCGCCGTTGAGGGCAGCGATGCCCTTGGGCGCGGCAAATTTCATGCGCTCGCAGACGTCCTCTATGCACTGCACCGGATCACCCTCAACCATGGCGACGAAGTAGATGCGGTTGTTGTAGCAGGCTTCTAGAGTCCGGACCACTGCCTAGCACGGCCTAAGCGTGCTATGGCTGGCAGAAACCTCTGAATGGGCGCATCAAAGTCCGCGGGCTCTGGGCCCAGCGGAAAACCCAAATATCACCTGGGTGCCTAGAAGGGTCCATTTTTGGGTAACGAACCGGATGGGTTTGTTTTAGTCCATCCAGGGGTTTGGGTTTCCGGCATCCCTAGCACGCCGTCATCCACCACTCCCATTCCCACTCCAAGGAACTGGGCTGAAAGCAAATGTAATCAGTTGATATCACTGAGCACCCTGTATCACGTTCGGGTGTTCTCCCAGTCATATTCCCACGTCTTCTTGCCGTCAACCACTAAATCGTAGTGGACCAGCAGCCAACCTTTCGTGGATGTGTCAAAGGTGACAATACCAAACTAGGAGTTGCCCCAAGGATGGGAGTGGATCGAGACATCCTGTACCGCCTGGTGTCGAGCACGAAGAAGGACACGCCCCCGCGGCGGAACTCGTAGTGTGTGTTGCCCTCTTCGGCCGGCGGCGGGTTTGCGCGGCCCTGGTAGGCGCTGTAGGGCGCCATGGCGTCGCGGTACAGCCCCGTCTCATTGGCGGCCCAGTCGTTGTGGATCTCGTGGTCATCGTAGGCGTGCAGCCAGGCCATGGACCGCAGGCGCGGCGTCCACGAGGGAGAGGCGTAGAAGGGCTTGATGCACGAGGTTGACACGAGAGGCCAGCGCTTGGGGTGCTCGGCTGGGCGCGGGAGCGTCTTGAAGGTGCCCTGGAGAGTGTAGCCAGGCGATGGCTGCATATCTGGCCGTCGCGCGTCCTTGATCAAATAGCTGAAGTGAAAGGTTCCGACAAAGTCGTCATCTGGCAGGATGGGAATGGTTTGTCTAGCCTCGACTATGCCGCCACTCCCTGCTGTGGCTGTCGCAGTGATAGATACCAAGATTTCGTCCTCGGCGATGCCCCAGGGGGCTCATACGACGATGCTGGCGGTAGTGTCGTCAACATAGCCGACTCTAGAGAAGGTGAGGTCACCACTTTGGTGGATGAGATGGGCTCAGTAGACAAAGTCGAGGCATGCCGCCAGGACGGCGAGGGCGGTGTCGAGGTCGCCGTGGCGCCCAAGACTAGCCGCGTTGTCGGCAAGCTCGACGTGCTGGTGCAGGGTGTGGCTCTTTTCTCGGATGGTTACAACATCCAGGTCATCGGCTACATGAACACTGTTCTGGCCAAGCTGTGAGTGCTGTCCACTTACAGGATACACATATCATCGTCCTTGACTAACAAGGCAACTGCCAGGTACCCCAAGGAGATGACCACCGAAACCAAGACGCGGCTCTCCAACTCGATCCTGATCGGTGACATCTTTGGCATGGCCATCTTTGGACTGCTGCGGTTGGCACCACTGCTTTGAGCGAGGCTCTTGCCAGCCTCGAGGATCCGGTCAAGGGTCAGCAGGCTGTGTTCCTGATTGGGAGTGGCATATCCGTGGTCGGGACTTTGGTGGTCTGGTTCATGATTCCGAACGTAGGTCGCTTGCTTCCCTTGGCTCTTTTACCAAGACTTCACTAACTATTCAACTTGAAACAAACAGCACCCCAAGACGCTCGAGGAAGAGGATGCCCGATTCCGTGCTTTCTTGGAAGACAGCGGCTACGATACGGCTCACATGGGCCTCAAGGCATGATCAGATCAGGGTCAGTTCTTGGTTCCTAACGGATAAAATTTGTACAGATTAGATAATTACAGGCGCGCTCTGGGAGGCGCTGCCTCCTCCTCGTTACTAAATAATGGCTCTGCTGTGACGGTCGCTGAAACACGACGTCCAAAATACTCAATCTCCACGCCGGCGCCAACATGCAGATCCCCTGGAAGCCATGCATACGCAATGGGCTTACCAACCGTGTATCCAAACGCTGCGCTCGTGACGTATCCCACCGCCTTGCCCGCAACAAAGACAGGCTCCTTCCCCAGAACGACATCCCTGGCGTCGTCCATGACCAGGCACCGCAGCACGCTCTCGGGCCTGGAGCCCGCGAGAGCCGCCTTGACGACGGCCCCGCAGCCCACGTAGCCCAGCTTGCCCGGGTCGACGGCGGACGCGAGGCCGGCCTCGAGCGGGCCGTGCTCCGTCGTCACGTCGACGCCGTACGTCCTGAACCCGGCCTCCATGCGCAGCGCCGCAAACGCCGCCCGCCCCGCCGCCACGGCGCCGTGGGCCTGGCCCGCGCTCCACAGCGCGTCCCACAGCCGCAGGCCGTTGTCGGCCGACGCGTAGATCTCGAAGCCGGGCTCGCCGACGAACGAATGGCCGACGAGCAGCACCGGCACCCCCGCGATGACGGACGGCCGGACCGTATTGCGAGGGGTTAGGTGGTCGCCGCCGCCGCCTCGGCACACGGCGCCCACGATGTCGGCCGCCCGCGGGCCCCAGACGCCGACGCCGCAGGTGCCTGCTGTCACGTCGCGCACCTGCGCCCAGCTGCCCGCCCGCGCCCGCGCCTGCAGCCGTGCCTGACGGGAGAGGTAGGCAGTGTCGACGGCGCCGTTGACGAACAGCTGGAACGAGTCGGTGGCCAGGCGGGCGACGAAGACGTCGCTCTTGACCTTGCCGTGCTCGTCCAGGAGTAGAGTGAAGGTTAGACTGCCGGGCGGCTTGCTCACGTCGCTGGTCGATAGACGCTGCAACAGCTCCAGCGCGCCCGGGCCCGAGACGAGCAGGCGGCGGATGGGAGTCAGGTCGAACAGGCCGGCGGCGGTGCGGGTCCTGCAGGCCTCGGCGGCCACGATGGGCGAGTGAAAGCGCGCGGCCCAGGGGTCGTGGTCACGGTGCGCGCCCGCTTTCCAAGGCGCCGGCAGGGCGTCGACCAGCCCTGCGTTGGCCTCGAACCAGTGCGGGCGCTCCCAGCCGCCGGCCTCGAGGAAGTAGGCGCCCAGCTGGTGCTGGCGTGCGAAAAAGGGGCTGACGCGCAGGTTGCGGGGCGAGTCGCGCGGCTGCAGCGGATGGATGACGTCGTAGACCTCGACAAAGGCCGTCGTGCAGGTTTCGGTCACGTACTCGGGCGTCAGCTGGACGTCGTCGAAGCGGGCGACGTCGCAGTCGGCGGCCAGGTCGACCGACGACCGCCCCGTCGTCAGCAGCTCGGCCACGGCGCGCGCCACGCCGGCCGAGTGCGTTACCCACACGGCCTCGGCGACGAAGAAGCCGTCCAGGTGCGGCGCCTGCCCGACTAGCGGCCCGCCGTCGGGCGTGAAGGACATGACGCCGTTGAAGCCCGTCTCGACGGCCGCGTCGGCCAGGCACGGCATCAGCCGCCTGCTCAGGTCCCAGGCCTCGGCAAAGTCGTCGGGGGTGAAGTCCATGCGCGACGGCATGTTGTGCTCGTCGACGTGTGCCGGCGTCGGCCCCAGCGAGGCGGCAGTCACGGGCATGGGCCTGTGGCCATAGTAGCCGATGCCCATCTGCTCCCCGTGCTCGCGGTAGTACAGGTCCCTGTCCTGGTGCCTGAGGATGGGCAGGCGCGCGCCGTTGACCGGCAGCCCCTTTCCCCTTTGCGCCGGCACGGCCGTCGTCTTGGCGTACTGGTGGCCCATGGGCTGCAGCGGCACGCGCAGGCCGACCATGGCGCCGAGCTCGACGCCCCAGAAGCCCGCGCACGACAGCACGAGGTCCGCGGGCACCACGGCGCCACCGCCGGTGCTCGTCTCGACGCCCGTCACGCGCCCGTCCTGCTGCCGGACCCCCGTGACGCGCGTGTGCTCGAGGTACCGCACGCCCGCCGCCCGCGTCCGCTCCATCAGCACCTGCACCGCCTTGGCCGCCAGCGCCAGGCCGTCGGTGGGGAAGTGCAGGCCGCCGACGACGACGTCGGGCCCCAGGAGCGGGTAGAGGTCGCGGCACTGCTGGGCCGAAAGCAACTCGGCCTCGACGCCGTACGCGCGGGCGTAGCCGTGTCTCCTCTTGAGGTCGCGCAGGCGCTCGGGCGTCTCGGCCACCTCGAGGCCGCCGACCTGGTTGAAGCAGCCGATGGAGAGCAGCTTCTGCACCGTGTACTGGGCGAACTTTGTGAGCGTCTTTGACGCGTTGGTCTGGAACACCAGGCCCGGGGCGTGCGAGGTGGAGCCGCCCGGCATGCTCAGGGGCCCCTGCTCGAGGACCGTGATGTCGGTCCACCCGCGCGAGACCAGCTCGTCGGCGATGTTGACGCCGACGATGCCGGCGCCGATGATGACGACGCGCTGAGAGGGGTCCATGGTGGAGGGGTGGGTGGCCTCGGCGGGTGGCGATTAATAGGGGGTTCAGGGGGCACGAGGATGTATGGCTTCCCGCTCAAGTGTTGATGTGTCTGTGGCATTCAATACTGTCTAATTACAGCGAATGGCTGCTTCCAAAAAGGTTCACGTGTAGATATCACATCCTCTTGAACCCGTCCAGCACAGCACATCACCACACATAATATACCGGGCTCGGGACGGCCATTCGACGTCGAGTGCGGGGAAGATCAGCCACGTAGCAAGGTCTGGCCCGCCGAGTCGCTAGTGAACCAACACGAGATGCATCGACACGGTGTTTGCAGGCATGGCGCCGCGCCCGACGACCGATCACCCCAAGGTCACCTGATCGGCCTCGTTGACCGTTTTGCCGTGTCCGGCCACGGTCCGCCTCTGGCGCTCCGCCGCTCGCCACCTCTGCCGTTAAACAGACAGTCCCAGTTGGGCGCTAACCTTTGGGGGCCGGCACCATCGGCTATCGAGGGAGGGGGCCTCCACACCTCCACATTCGCTGCACGACCTGCAGGATGCAGCGCTCTGGATCCTGGGCGACGATAGTCGATACTGCAGGAAAGATATGTAGCTTGGCGGGGGTGGCTTCGTCGCTATCTCTAGCCGCATGCCGGCCAAGGCTCGCCGAGATATGGGCGAACCATGGGATTGTTTTCCGTCCCACAAATTCGTATCTGCAGACGTCCGTCCCAAGTCCGTTGCCGGCGTGGGGCCCGGATTGCTTGTTTTGGGTATCCGCTCTTGTCCCTATCATTATTACCTCAGTCGCCGTTTATGCTGCATCAGGATTCGGGTCACACAACAGATAGCTTTCCGATGTCAGACATGCTCCTGCATTGATTGGTAGTCTGGCACATGGAGAGAGCATGGGTGCCGCATCTGAAGGCGCAGGTGGAATGGTTTTGCTACCGACCTGGAAATTGCGGCGTGGAAAGCTGGAGAAAGATCTTGTAATGACAAACCAGGATCCGGATTTTGTTATGCCTTTTTCTCTTACCAAAGAAAAAAACTAGAGATAATTACATGAACTGAAGGAGACTGGAATTTACATAGTGAAATTACATTGCTTTGATCCGTTCGCCGGCACCAAGATGAAGATGAAAATCCAACGCTTAGAACGCCCGCAAACCTACGACAAGAAAGAAAAATATCCTAGAAAGCAATAGCCTCGTCAAGACACACCCGCGTGCCCTCGTCCATGCAACTAGCCTTTTGCTTGCCGCACGTCTCGACAGCGGCGCAAAAGTCCCTGTCCTCCTTGGTAGCCTCGCCCGTGCCCTTCTCGGGCACCTTCTGGCGGGCGGGCCAGATCTCGGCGCCGCCCTTGCGCTCGTTCTCAAAGTGCTCCGTCACGACCTCGCGCACCACCTTCTGGAAGTAGAGCGGGCCCTTCTCGAGGTCCGGGTGTAGCTCGCCGTTGACAAAGACGCCGGCGTCGATGTTGCGCTGGGCGTTGGCACACAGGTACTTGTCCTCGGACATGATGCGCTTGTACATTTCGCTGATGGTTTTGAAGTCCTCGTCGCTGCTGTTCTTGTTGCGGTAGACCTCGTACCGCATCTGGGACTTGTTTGGGGCGAAGGGGACGAAGCGCTGGATCATGAAGAAGTGTGGTCTGGGGGTTTTGTTAGTCAAGTTAGGACTAGAGCTAGGTAGATCAAGAGAGTATGTCGAGAGAGGACAATACTCACGAGACATTCATGGACGCGTTGGGCCAGTAGTACGTCGCCGCCACCCGGAACCCCTGCGCAATCTGCTCGGGCGTCGGCTCGCCAAAGTGCTGCACAAAGGCCTTCTCCGTGTTGACAAAGTACGAGTTGAGGTCGGCGATGGAGGGGATGTCCGGGTGCGAGGTCGGGCAGTGGTAGCACTCGTTGTAGTTGTCGGCCAGGATCTTCCAGTTCCAGTCGCCCTCCATGTCCCACTGGTGGTCGAAGACGTAGTCTTCAAAGTTGTAGTGCTGGAACCGCTCCTGCTCGTCGATGCCGGCAAAGTCGTCGGACCAGGCAATCTCTGGCGTCTCGCCCGCGTCCATGTTGACCCACACGAAGCCGTTGCGGTCGAGGTGCACGTGGATGGGGAACAGGCTGTTCTTGGCCCGGTCGAAGCCCGGCAGGTCCTGGTAGCCCGGCGCCTTGGCGAGGTTGCCCTTGAGGCCGTAGGACCAGCCGTGGTACTTGCAAGAGAAGACATAGCTGTTGCCCTCGTCCTTTGTCACGACGGGGAAGGCCCGGTGGCGGCAGACGTTGTGCATGGCGTGGATGGTGCCGTCCTTGCGGTCGCGCACGATGATGAACTGGTAGCCCGCCACGTCGTACCGCACCCAGTCGCCCGGGTTGGGGATGCGCGCCTTGTGGGTTGTGAGGAGCCACTTGCGCGAGAAGATGGCGCGACGCTCGAGCGAGTACATGTCTTGGGAGGTGTACCATTCTGCCGGGAGGGCGCGCACTGCCGACTTTTCTGTGGGAGAGGGGGGTCCGCCGTCGACGGACTTGCCGAAGAAGGACTTGAATAGCGACATTTTGGCTGTAATATGATGTGATGTGTTGCTGGCTTGAAGAGATGATATCAAGATCTGAGAATGTGTATTTTCGGGGCGCTTTTGGTATGAAGTGATATACAGCAGCTAGTTTATCTATCAAAACACAGTCGGCGTCTCCATGGCAAGGCTCTAGTCCCCTATATAGTCATCCCAACCCCCCTCCCTTACGCTAAGACTGGACGGGTTGCACAGGCCGTGTTCCGACGTCTGTTACAAGATTAGCTCGCCGTGAGCAACGGCTTGTCCTCGCAACAATGCCGTCGGCGATGGGGCCTCCTTGCCAGATCGAGAACGTCAGAGCGATAGCAAGGAAACGGGCGGACGGGGGTGCCGTTTCCGTTCGCCGGTCACCTGACCGGGCCACAGGCGAGCACCATGGGCGTTCGGACCGTGCCGTGAGGGCGATGGGGACTTGCAGAGCTTATCTCCAACAGGTGCGATGCCCAGCCAGCCTAGATAGTAACAAGTACGTACCGAACGGTCTGGGCCTCGGATTCCCCAGGCGAGCGACGAGACCCTGCATGTGCCACTATCTAAAATCTGTCGTCTGGCCCTCATGACCTATGGAACATGACCCATTGGGCATGACCTGCTGCATTGCTGCCGCCTGCAGCTTTTGCCCAGGCGCCGCCAGCGCGGCGGGCGGCACCATGGGACATGGAAGGCCCTGCCATGCACGTCGTGGGGAGCCCCATCGCCGTCTCCGTCAGGAAAGGCGCGACGGAACAGGATGCGGGGTGTGGGCGTCGTGGACGGGCTGGGGTGGTCTAGAACGGGAACAGGCCCTGTGCTCGAGTCGGGAGTTGCAGGAGTAGTGCTAGTGCTAGATCCACTTGCTATCTGGCTGGAGGATGCAGGGTGGCAGGCCTGCTCTGCCCGGTGGATGCGGGTCTGCGGTGAAACCAACGCTGGAATCTGGGGCGGCGTATCAAGAGAGTGGAAGTCGGCTTTCTCAACGGTCGCCACCCCCGCCGATCACGGCCTTGGTGCTGGGTTAATTCCTCCATCCATGCCACGTCGGTGAGCCAACGCTGCCCTCTCCCCGCATCACCTGATCGGCATCTTGACCCGCCGTCAACCGCTGCTTCTATCTGCGACTGCGCCCCGATCTCGGACCCCGTCGTCGCCATCCTATCGCGGCTCGGGGCAAAGTCTCCGTCTGGGCGGGTCGGTGTGATATCGGAATAGCTGCCCGATCTACTTAATCGTTGGGACGTGAACAACAAAATCTCTCTGCCAATGGCTTGATAGTTGATACCAAAAACAAACCAAGGTAGAGCCCAACCAGCCAACCCAGTCAACCCAGCCCACCACCAGCGGGGAGCACGAAACAGAACCTGACTTGCAACCCGCATCCACCACCCACCACCCGCCGACCCCCTCCTCCCCGTTGCGTCTCCCAATCACGCCGGCAAGCACCCCTCCCACGCGGGTGATCACGGGGTCCCTCCCAAAGGAGCCGACAGCGCTCCCGGCCGCCACAGGGTCGCAGCCGAGCTGCTCGCTACACAGTAGACGGACAGAAAAGATGCCAGCAGATGGGCGCACCCCCTCGTACCTCATCGTCGGCGCCGGCGTCTTTGGCGTGTCGACGGCGTACCACCTGATCCGCAGGCACCCGGGCGCGAGCGTCACGCTGCTGGACCGGGACGCCATCGACGCCGAGTCGCGCGTGGCGGCGTCCTGGGACTGGAACAAGGTGGTGCGGGCCGACTACGACGACCCGGCCTACTGCCGGCTCGCGCTCGAGGCCCAGGACATCTTCAAGACGGACCCGCTGTGGAAGCCCTACTTCCACCAGACGGGCGTCTACTGGATCTGCCGCTCCGACTACGCCCGCGATGTCATTGCCCACCACAAGGCCCTGGGCCGCGGCGATGATATTGTCGCCATGCCCGTCGCCGAGGCCCGGCGGCTGTACGGTGGAATCTTTGACGACGCCGACTACAGCGGCGCCAAGGAGGTGCTCATCAACCGCGCCAGCGGCTGGGCGGCCGCGGGCGACTGCCTGCGCGCCGTGACGCGCGCCGCCGAGGAGCTGGGCGTGCGCTACGTCGTGGCCGAGGCGTCGTCGCTGGAGCTGGACCCGCGCACGGGGAGCTGCAGGGGCCTCAAGACGGCCGACGGGAGGACGTTCCGCGCGGACCGCACCATCCTGTGCGCGGGGGCCTTCACGGCCAAGCTGCTCGAGATGAGCGCGGCGGCGACCGGGGTCGAGACCCTCTCGGCGGGCGACAGGATCCTGGCGGCGGGCATCGCGACGGGCATGGCGGAGTTGACCGAGGAGCAGTACAAGCCGTACGCCGACATGCCTGTTGGGTTCCAGGGATACGTCGGATTCGGTAAGGAGGCGCTTGCTTGTCATTAGAGGTTCTGCATTCGCGCATTCGCGCATTTAAACGCATTATACTGATCAAACGCCGTTTGTCGCGCCAGGGAAACCGTTTATCGGCACCCTCCCACCGACCAAGGACAGGGAGCTGAAGTGGTGGGGATCCAAGATCTTCTCCAACATCACCGAGATCCTGCCGGGCAGAAAAGTGTCGGCGCCGCCGCCGGCGAGCGACTATAGGCAGTGGGACGTGTCGCGGCGGCTCAAGAGCGACATCATTGAGCAAAAGGAGCTCTGGTACGGCAGCAAGAGCAAGGGCTGGAAGATGACCAAGCACCGCATCTGCTGGGACGCCTTCACGACCAGCTCCGACTTCATCATCTCGCCGCACCCGGCGGCCAAGGGGCTGTACCTGGCGACGTGCGGGTCTTTCCACGGCTTCAAGTTCTTCCCCGTGCTGGGCAAGTGCGTGATGCAGATGCTGGACGGCGAGCTGCCGCCCGAGCTGGCGACGAGGTGGGCGTGGGACCGCGAGCGTCCAGACCACCTGGCGAACCCAGAGTACCCCAACTCGGAGCTGAGCGAGCTGGCAGATCAGCTGGCCAAATTGTGAACCATGTTATATGGGCGGCTATCCACAGACGCGGGCAGGCGGAGGCCAAGGATACATATGCATGGAACATCAACAGAACACCTACTATTAGTAGTATAATAACAGGGATGGATGGGACTCCACGTCCAGCAGGCAGGCAGCCACCTCCCCACCCCTCCCCAGACCCGGCCCAAGCTCGGAAATCTAGCCCCTTCTGGCTGGGTTGCTTATCTTGTAACGCCCCCGCTTGGCGGCCAAGGTTTCCTCCTGCAGTGTTTATGCCAGTTCCGACGGACAGCAGCCTCCTTGCAGCGGGCTGCAGCGGGCTGCAGCGGGCAGCGCCACCATTGGCTACCCGAGCTATCCGTGACCGATCCACCACTGGCTCTGCTCCTTCTCCGCACGTGGCCCGCTGTGTTTCGGCCGCAGCAACACTGTGCTGCTATATCTAGAACCGGCACCGTTCATTGGTGACATCACTATCTGGCCCTCTTCCCCGACATGACATCCTTTTTGTCTAGTAAGCTGCCCGTGCTTTGCAACTCGCTTCCTCTTATCGCGCAGTGGCCTATCTCACCTGCCTTCCCAGGTAGCTGCCGGCGACGTCCTGTCCGCCGCCAGCTTGACATGCCGCCGCCTGACCCGGATCCGTCTAGCTCTAGCATTTCAGCCGTCGGCTCTCGGGGGAGAAGGCGTTTGCACCATGCCTGTCTCAACTGCAGGTCCGTCTCTCTGTCTCTCTCCGCCGCCGGGCCTTTTCCCAGGCGACCCCATTCGCCCGCCCTTGGCACTGCCCCTTGCGTTGCATCGCGTCCGTCCCCCATCCATTCATTGCCTGATATCTCGCTGATGCACATGGCAACCCGCAGGCGCAAGAAGACCAGGTGCCCGGGCGAGAAGCCGGCATGTTCTAGCTGCGCCCGCCTGTCGCAGACGTGCTCCTACCCGGCCCTGAGGAGGCCTTCCCAGAGTGGCGGGAGATCAGTAAGTGTCGGAAACAAGTAAAGGACGGACCGGACCGCGAAAAAAAGAAGAGGCTTTAACCCGCCCCAAAGGACGAGAGGCTACAGAACCTAGAGGAAAAGCTGGACCTCCTGCTCAGTGGGGCGAGCATGTAATACGATCCCCGCCACCACCGGTCCACGCACCAAGACGAGCGTGCTCTTTGGAGACCATCTGACGAGGTTGTTGAACCTAGCCACCACCACCACGCGCGTCCAGGCAGGCAGAAAGAACAGCAACCACAGACCCAAGAACAACAAGAGCAGCAGCAGCAGCAGCAGCGGCGGCGGCGGCGACAGCAGCAACAGCAACAGCAGCAAGATGATGAGTTAAGCCCGACGACAAACAGGTCCTACTCGGCTACGCCACCGCCGGGAAGAAATCGCAGGCCCAGCAATGTCCACAACGACAACGGCAGGAGGAATGTAGCCGACAATAGCAGCACCGCCGGCTCGTCGGTGGGGTTCAATCACGACATTGCCAAGGCCGTGGACCTCTACTTCAAGTACTGCCACCGGCAGCCCATCTGGTGCTTTGAGCGCCACGAGATTGGGGACCTGGAGTCGCTGCCCGAGGAGCTAACAAGCAGCATCATGGCCCTGACCGCCCGCTTCTCGCAGCAGCCCGTCGACACGCAGCTATACAGCAGCAACGCCAAGACACTAATCATGCTGCGCCTGGCCAACGGCACCGTGGACCTTGTCACCATCGAGAGCCTGTGCCTTCTTGCCTACTACTCCCTGATTGGTAAGTCGGGCCATGGTCGTGTTTGGGACAAAAGGTCAGCTGACAGCTTCTCTCCCCCTGCCAGACGGCAACTTCCAGCTGGGCCAGTTCCATCTCGGCCTGTCTCACCAGCTGTGTCGCTCAGCCCTCCTGGACGCTGAATCCGTTTACCCGCCTGACGACCCCTTGGCGGAGCGGAAAAGGCGCCTGTTCTGGAGCCTCCAGCTGCTGGAGCAGTTCTACGGCCGCCAAGACGCCCATCTCAGCAACCCCAACAATAAGCTCCGGGACTCGTCCGAGTCGGGCCACGGGCCGCGAGCAGCAGCACCGTCAGCGTCGGCCGCCGCCGCCGCAGAGGATCGGTCCCCGTCCCTGCCGCGGGACGACCTCGGGACAGCGACCCCGAGCGAGCCGGGCATCTGGATCACGAGCATGTGCCTCGGCTGGGTGTGGAGCCAGGTGCGGCGGTACGTGGCCGACTGCGCGCGCGACGGCGTGGTCAAGGAGCCCTGGCGCCACGACTCGCCCTACGCAAAGGTGCTGTCCGACTTCATGGAGGTCGAGAACCGCATCCCCATGTGCCACCGCTACGACTCGGTGCGCTTCTACGAGCGCGACGAGCACGACATCAAGCAGAACCGCGACTACTGGGCCTGCTGGCTCAAGGAGCAGATGGTCTACCACGCCATCGTCACCGTCCTCAACCATCCCTTCCTCTATATCGTCGGCGCCCAGCACAACCCCAACCTCGGAATCCCAAACACGTTCTGGAGGCGGTCTAGCGAGCAGGCGCTCCTTCACGCCACATGGCTCGTCAGGATCATTGACATGGTTGTCGAGAAGCAGGTCGCTCTGGTGGTATGTTTTGTGGTCCAAGACGTCGGGACACTGAGCACTACTAACTCCTTCGCGCGATAGGAACCCATCGTTGGCCACGTCGCTGCAATCGCCGCGACCGTCCACCTCTACTACAGCTGCGCGGCCGCCGCCAAGCTCAAGCACAAGTCCAACACGGACTTTGCCAAGTGCCGCAAGTTTCTCAAGAGCTTCATCCCCTACTCTACTGCTTGCGCGGCTCTGGTAAGTCATTCTTGTTCATCCACCAATACAGCGCCAAATAAACTCACAATAACCAGGACCGCAACCTCGACAAGATGGCCCTGATTGCAGCAGGAGCCGAGGCCGAGACCATTGACGTGGACGACGACTGGATGCCTTCCAAAATGTACCTCAGTGTGCCCCTGATGTGGGAGATCCTCCAGTTCTCCTCGTATTCCTCCTCCACCGGCCCAACGCAGGACCACATGGGAGGCGGCAGCGGCGGAGGCCTATTCGACGCATCCCTCGCCCCCGTCCTCCCAACCATCGACGAGTCCGACTCGTCCACCATCCTCGAGATCATCGTGGCCACCTCCCCCGAGATTAACATCAACATCGCCGACGGCGGGCAGGAGGCGCCGACGCGGCCGCAGCCGTTCAAGAACCACAACCGCGGCAGCAACACCCGAGGGGCGCGTGGCGGCGGTGTGCAGCCGGCGACTAGCGGCAGCAGCAACCACCACCACCATCACCATCACCACCACAACAACCACGGCAGCGGCGGCAGCGGCAACGACGCCATGGACCAACAGCAGCAGCTCGACAGCCTCACGCTGTACACGACGCCGTGGCTGTACGCGGACCCGGGGCTGCTGCTGGGCATCGGCGACCTGAACCTGCCGCCGCCCGACGAGGCGGGCACGGCGTGGTGGGAGGGGGAGAACTTGGATAACCTGATGCTGAACTAGGCGCGAGCGATAGAAGGGGGATGATTGTTAATACATAGACTGGTACAAAATTGCAAAACAGTGTTGTTGCTTTTCTCCACTCGTGCCACTGTTGGCACCTCAAGCCTCTGCCGGCATACTACCACCCCGATAGTACAGAAAAGTTGGCCATACTGCATCATTTGACCTCCATGCCAAACCCTCCAGTCTTCCGTCGATGCCGGGTGCTTTATCTACACCGTATTCTAGGTGGCATCAAGGCGCCGCCTCTTCTTCGACTGATGGGTCAGAGAATTCGCATTGAGGACCATTACGAATGCCGCGGACGGGCTGCCGGCGACATGGCATGATACCCATCCAACCCGCATTTTCAACTGCAACGCCTTGTCTTGCCCTAAGTCGGTCTCTTTGCCCATAAGAACCCGACCAGATATCTTTATTGCGTACCCGCTTGTAGGGATGCGTGATGGGTTCGTTGTGCCAAGACTCTTTTTGGAACGCACAGAAAAAGAGCAAGGATACGTTTTGTCGCATCGCCCTCTTCCGCCCCAGACCTTTGATGTAATCGGACAGAGGCTTCCATCGTCTTTTTCTCAGCCCGTCACCTTGCAGCAGCTACAGGATTCGGCGCATCCCATAATCACCATCTCCGGGTATACAGAGTGGCCCTCTGGCTTGTCAGGCTAGGTGCACAGTTTTGCAATAGGGAAAGAATCCAACCGCGGGCTGAAGTGGGCGTGAAGAATACCTGAGCGTCTAGTTCTCCTACATTACTTACAGATGCGCAGCGTTCGTGCCTAGATCTTGCCCGTCCTAGTCCTAGCCGTTCTCCCCCGTCCACCACGAGTTGTCCAATGAGGCTCATCCCAACGTCCAACAGCGTCGACAGAAAGCTGGGGGATCGCCGTATGGGCCAGGGTTGCGTGCTAACGTCTCAGGGATGCCCCCTGTGGATCTGCGCAGGGATCGGCGAGCCTGGCGGATCAGACAACGCCTCCACGAGAAAACAGACCATCGGGATGCCCAAGAACCAGGGGAAACTCTGTGGCCGCCTCGATTCGCGGGATTTCCTCCCTACCGAGAACGACTTGAGACGACGCGAGAGGCGTGAAAGCAGAGGCAAAATCAATGTGCAAAATTGCGAGGACCCAACGACGATGATTCTTTCCCCATCACGGCCTGACGACACTCAAGCGCCTCGGATTGTGGGACCACCCTGCGATGCGACGGCGCTCGCGTCGATCTGCCAGATGCCGTCACATCCTGAATGGGTCTTGGCGCCCGCCCACAGACCCGTCCATCGTTGGCAAGTCGACACGACAGGCCTTTCCTGACCCGTTGACGTACCTCCCTGCGCGAGCCCTCATTTATTCCACCGCGATCCAGTGCCTCGATCTGGAAGGGCACTCCGACGAGGGACCAGGGATCGGAGTGGCGGGCTGCTGGGACATGAAACAAGACGGGTGTGGGGGCCGTGGCCTAGCCGTTGGGTCGCGGATCGCACCACCACGTCATGATTTCGGAGCGGCATGCTATCCCCCGCGGAAGCCGATTCGACAGAGGACAGGATGACTTTTTGGCGTGGGCGGCTGGCTAGCGAGGTGCATCGTGTTTAGTTATGGTCAATCCGTAAAGGTGTTGTGTCTCTTGGTGGGTTATACCGCGCGCTCTCTCGTGGCCTTGGCGAGAATGCGCCGACGGTGGTCGGGGGTGATAGCGGCGGGAAGGAAGGCTAGCATATAATGATATAAGGACAAGCATTCTCGCCTCTGCTCGTCGTCTGAAGTCTGTCGTCTCATGGTCAGCAGTCCTCCAGCGGCTCTTACTTCTTCTCTTCTCTCGCTCCTTATCACCAACCCCTTTTCTTTCCCTTCGCGCTGCTAGCCAGCTAGACCTTTCACGTTTTTCACTTTTTACCCACACTACCCACACTCATTCACACACCTTTTTTTCCACGCAGTGATGCTCGTCACGGCCGGACTCGTGACGCTGGCCCTCGGCGGCTCGGCGGCGGCGCACAGCGTCATGTTCGGCGTGTTGGTCAACGGCCAGGACCAAGGAGACGGGCGCAAGGTGTACATCCGCTCGCCGCCCGACAACAGCCCCGTCAAGGACCTCACGTCGCCGGACCTCGTCTGCGGCAAGAACGGCGGCAAGGAGGTGCCGCAGTTCGCCAAGGCGGCCGGCGGCGACACGCTCACCTTTGAGTGGTTCCACGACAACCGCGGCGACGACATCATCGACGGGTCGCACAAGGGGCCCATCATCACCTACGTGGCCACCTACAGCGGCGACTCCATGGACGGCACGGGGCCCATCTGGACAAAGATCGCCGAGGATGGCTTCAGCAACGGCCAGGACCGGAGGCGGAAATGGGGCAGGCTCTGGCTCCGGCTCTGGAGGCTCGGGAGGTGGTAGCAACAACGGTGGTAACAATGACGGCAACGGAGGAAACAGAGGAGGCAACAACAACGGCGGCGGCAACACTAATGGAGGAAACAACGGAAACAACAGCAACAATAACCAAAGAAACAACGGTGGCAGCGGCAATAACAAGAAGAATAACATTAGTGGCGGCAACAACAGCAACGCGGGAAATAACAACAACAACGGCAACAACAATTGCAACAACAGCCAGGGAAACAACGGTGGCAATAACAACAACCGAGGCTCCCAGGGAAACAACGGGGAACAACAACGGCAACAAGAACCAGGGCAACCAGGGGCAGCTGGGTAGCAGGGCTGCCGATGGCTGCGCCCAGCGAAAGCCGCGCCGTGCCGTCGCCTTCATTGCTTGAGCAGCGCCATCTTTTCTATTGTGTGACGAGCGTCTGAAGCTTGAACAAACAAGCCGTATGGCTGCGGAATAGGGGGCACCAAGTCGGGGTTTCGGGCATTTTATGGCCGTGTTGCCATGTGTCACTTCACTTCTTGTATGTAATTTTTGTTGACCGAGAGAGTCCTTGTACCTAGCGTTTGGTTCGCCGGCAAATGCCACAGAATCCGCCCGTCCCGGTCTTGCGCAGTTTGTGATTTATCGTAATGCGTGAGTGTCAAGTACCGTATCTTCTCGAAAAACTGAGAACCCGCTTTGAAGGGGAGCGCCCTGTGTTGGACCCGACTTTTCCCTTATACAGTTAATACGGGCGGGTCGTTTTTATCCCACAAGCAGGGCTGACGTTGATTTTTTTTTTTTTGCGCTCGCCCTGGAAACGACCCCTTTGCTCTACTCTACTGGTGGGCGCAGTGTTTGAAAAATAAATCACACGGCCACCTGACTCCATTTCCTGACCAGGCCCCCGGCAAAGCGGGTTCTCAATTTCTCGAGAAGATACGGTATTCAATGAATGCGAAAAAAAAAAAAAAAAAAAAGGAACAGAAAAGAAAGAGGGGTTCGGTAGAAAGGGAGAGGCGTGGAGCCCGGCTCGGTCGGATACGCCAAGGGTCCACGGCTGGACTGATGCGTTGAAATAGTCCTGCGTGGGCCGATGTCAAGACGCCCGGGCGACAAATTCTCAGGCCAGAGACACCACCCTCCACGTTTTGATGGCAGACACCACCCCCGCCGATGAGTCAAGTCCCCTCCTCCCGCCCTCCGACGCCCCCTCTCCAGAGCCGACAACAGCATCAACAATGAGCGCCCTCTTCTGGAAGGTGGGCGCCGTCTCGGGCGCCAGCGCCGTCGCCCTGGGCGCCTTTGGTGCCCACGGACTCAAGAAGCACATTTCGGATCCACAGAAGCTGGCCAACTGGGGCACCGCCGCCCAGTACCAGGTTAGCATCTGTTCCGGCAGCTGACAGATCTCCCATCTCCCATCTGACAACCCACCCTCCAGCTCGTCCACTCGGGCGCCGTCCTCCTGGCCTCGGGCGTCGGTGCGGGCAACCCCGTCGCCGCCGGCCTCTTCACCGCCGGCATGACCATGTTCAGCGGAAGTCTGTATGCCCTGGTGCTGGACTCGGACCGCTTTCGCTTCATGGGCCCCGTCACGCCAGTCGGCGGCCTGTGCCTGATCGCCGGCTGGCTGGCCCTCGGCTTCTCTCGCCGCGGTGCCTTCCCTCCCCTGCGCCGGTGAACAGGGTCAAGACGGCATTCAAGGGACTCGATAGACACAGGAAAAGGCCAAGATAGGAATAGAGACGAATCGAGTGATCGTATCGTAACCAATGCAGTCTAGTTGTACCATTATACCATGAGGAAGCCGTGATAAAAAAGGGGGTAGGGGGATGGGGTATCTAGTGCTAGCAATGCGCAGGGTCATACGCAAGTGACTACCTCATTACATGTATGCGTGTGCTCATGCCTCTCCACCACATTGTGATAGAATCGTAAGAAGGAAATCCCGGGAATCAAAACACAATCATTAATCTTACTCGGCCTTGGGCTCGGCCGACGCCTCGGCAGCGACCGAAAGCTCCTTCAGCTTGGCCTCGAGCTCCGACGTCCTGCTCTCGGCCGTCTTGGTCTGGCCCTGCGCCTCCTCGAGCTTGGCGCTGAGGTCCTGCGCCTTGGCCTCGGTCTCGGTGAGACGATCGTTGAGCAACTTGGCCTCATCCTCCACCTTCTGCAGCTTGACCTGCACGTCGGCAGCCAGCGCTGCCGACGCCTGCGATTCGGCCAGAAGACCCTCAAGGCTTGACACCTTGGCCTGCGTCGACTCGATCACATTCTTAGCTATGCCGACGGCCGCAGACTCCTTCTCGAGCTTCTGCTTGGTCTCGGCGTGCTCCTTCTGCTCCTCCTCGAGCGCCTTGGCAGACTCGGCCTGCGACGAAGCGCCAGCCTCGACTTGCTTCTTGGTCTCGGCGTGTGCCGCCTGCTCCGCCTCCAAAGCCTTCTGGGCCTCGGCCGTAGCGGCCTTCTCGGCCTCGATGGCCTGGGCCGAGTCGGAGCCCGAGGCGTTGGCGGCTTCCAGGGCACTCTTGGACTCGTTGTGTGCGCCCGTCTCCGACTCGAGGGCCGCCTTGGTCTCGGCATGTGCGCTCTGCTCCGACTCGAGGGCCGCCTTGGCCTCGGCCACAGCAGCCTTCTCGGCCTCAAGAGCCTGCTGGGCCTCTGCGCTCTTGGCCTTCTCAGCATCAAGAGCCGCCTTCAGCTCGGCGATAGATGCCTTCTCCGCCTCGAGGGCCTGTTGAGCTTCGGCACTGGCGGCCTTCTCCGCCTCGAGGGCCTGCTGAGCTTCGGCGCTGGCGGCCTTCTCGGCATCCAGAGCCGTCTTGGTCTCGGCATGGGCCGCCTTCTCGGCCTCGAGGGCAGAGTTGGTGCTGGAAAGCTCTTCAGTCTTGGCAGCGAGATCGGCATTGGCCTTCTCGAGGCTAGCCTGCGTCTCGGCAGCACCGCTGTCGGCCGAGCCGAGCTTGGCACGCAGCTCCTCCAGCTCCGTGGACTTGGCCTCGAGCTTCGCGGCGGCCTCCTCGGCGGCGGCAGCAGTAGACTTTTGCTGTGCGCTGGCCTCTTCTTGCAGCTTCTCTGCCTGGGCGGCGGCGGCGGCGGCGGCCTCCTCGCTCTTTGCCGAGGCGGCCTGGGCGTCCGCCTTGGCAGCCTCAAGCTCAGCCGTCAGGCTCTTGACTTGCTCCTCCAGCTTGGTCTGGTTAGCCGAGGCATCACCAGTGGCACTCGCGACCTCGGCCTTGGCGGCCTCAAGATCAGAGGTCAAGGCCACGATCTTGGCATCGAGCTCCGTCTTGAGCGTCTCCTTGGCACTGTTGGACTCGTCAACGAGCTTGGTCTGCTCCTCGCGGAGGGACGAGATGGTGCTCTGGGCGGTCTCGTGCTTGGACGAGACGTCTGCCACGTCGGCCTTGAGCTTCTCAACCTCGGCGCTGAGCTGGGCCTGGGCCTGCTCGAGGGCATCCTGGACGGAGGGGTAAAACAGCGAATGTCAGTGCGGGGTCGGGACAGGCAGGTTGGGCAACAAAGGACGTATAACCACGGTGACGTACGATTTTGGCTTGCGACTCCTTCTCGGCGGCCTCCTTGGCCGCCTGGGCGTCGATCAGCTGCTTCTCGACCTCAGCCTTCTGCTTGGTGAGCTCCTCAACCTGGGCAGTCAGGGTCTTGATCTGGGACTCGCGGGACTCGGCGGTGCTCGAGGCGGCCTTTACGCCAGCCTCGAGGTCGGCCTTTTCCTTTTCGACGGCAGCCTTGGCGGCCGACAGCTCGTCGGCACGCTCCTTCAGGGTCTCGATGTCGGCATCGCGCGTGGCCACCTCCTCCTTGACCGTTGACAGCTCCTCGGTGAGCTCGTCGACCTTTGCCTGCAGGTCCTTGGAGTCATCCTTCTCCGGGGCCTTGGAAGAGCCGAATAGCCCGAACATTCTTTTCCCTATCTTGTCTGTTGGACTGGGGGGTTTGGGGAGGGGGGCTGAGGAGGGGTTGTGCCGCGGGGCTTTGGAGACTCCGTCGGTGTGCTTTTTGAAAACGCCTGGGGTTGCAGGACAGCAGAGGGAAAGTCTGGTTGCAGATTCAAATTAGCTGGTGCTGGCCGATGAGAGGAGGAGCGATGGGGCACGGGATCTGGTTGGCATGCAAGCGTCGCCAGCACCGGAGCGGGCGGGATCGGAGAGCAGCCCTCGCGCGCACGTACCTGGTAGATTTCGCAGGTCCTATCGCGAAGGCGGTGATGTTCTGCAGGTCTGGTAGGTGGAAGGTTCTGGACGGATATTGGGCAGAGCAGCGAAGCAAGAGGGCGGTAAGAATGGATACTAGTATGCGGACGCAGCAGAAGCGACTGGATTGACTGGACTGATGAGAGCTTTTGCAAGGTCTTTTGCGAGGTGGTGCAAGGTGGTGCAGTGCAGGGCGGCATGCAGGCGGGACGAGCAGCAGAAGAGGAGCCAACCAAAAAGGCCGAAGAAACAAGCAAGCACGAACAAGTCACCGCCAATTCCAGCCTGCCCAGTGGGAAAAAAGAATTTGGGCCAGGGTCCAGAGTAGCTGCAGCTACTGGCGGGGCAGGCCCCACGGCGCCAGGCAGGAAGCGGCGAGCAGGGCGGGCTAGCAGTCGCACTGGTCCCACCGCATCACCACCTCATTTAGCGCCTGCCCGCCCCTAGCCTTGGTGCAACCCCTCCCCTCCCGCAACGGAGCATGGGCATTCACGACGCGAGGATGCTCACATGCAACACGCCGCCCAGCCTGCCACAGCCGGTTTGTCACCCTTCACCGCCCAAGCACCGGCCTCCACCGGCGAGCTGGGCGGCAGGATGAGTGAGTGCGTCGTCCTGACGTGGCGGGGTCGAAAGCGAGGCGGTTGGTAGATTCCGACGCAGAGATTTCCCCCGATTTTCCCAGCCTTTGTTTGAAATTCCCTCACCCGTCATGCCAGGCCTTTGATGCAAACAAAATAGATGGGTGTCAGTCCGTTGTTTTGATTTCGGTCAATGCTGCCGCTGGAAAGCGACCGTCTACGAGCGGTCGAATCCTGGACAGTCGCACAATCGGTCCCGAGTGCCTGACCACCTCGCTGGGAGGCGCCTGCCGGGCTGACTCGTGGGGACATTTGACAGCCAGTGAAGGGTGCACAAATGGAAGGCGCCTGATAACCAACTATGGACGGCATGAAAAGATAAACAACGTGATCCCCGTCGATCACTGCAGGTGTGCATTTGGTGTAGCAACCGGTCGTGGGTGCCGTTTATTGACGATAAAAGATAAACAGTGCTGACCACTGCCCGCTGTCTCCCACCTTCCCCGCGGCGGGCATGCACTGACGCCAGGGATTGCTGACTCGTGACTGCCCAAAACGGCAAGCCCGAGCCCCTCCCCCTCAATTTGCAGCGAAAAGCTAGAGCAGACTTTTCCGCCAGGAATGCCCAGCACAGTGGGCATTCCTATCCTCGAGAAAATCCATGCGCCCTCGACGCCTCCAGAGCATGCCAGGCCGACGTCAATGTTCTGGCGGCTGGCCCTCCTGAGACATGTGTTGGCTTCCAGGCCCGGCGCCTGTCGGAACGTAGGGTTCCCAGGGTCCTCAGGGTCCTCAGGCATCCGACGGGTCGGCCACCAGGATGTGGCTGCCAGCCCAGCTTAGTCCAGCCTCTGAGTGCCTTGTGCCTGGTTGCCTGAACATGTTTAGGCCCATTCTCGGAAGCACCTTGCCGTCCGCGCCGGCTAGCACGTGCGGCTCCCCGGCATGGACGGCCCCCCACCTCCCAGCCACCGCCGAATCCCTCTTCCTCGGATCTGTGATGGCGCGCCGGCCAGTGCGGGGACGTTGGGGCATGAAACCTTGTCTCCAGCTCTTGGCCAGGCGGCACGGAACAGCGGCAGCCAGTCGCAACGCCCGCTTGTGTGCTATCTGGATGTACCGTTTCCTGTTGGCGTTAGTCTACGGCCCAACTTTGGCACTCCCGTTGGCCCACCTCGGTCGTATCATGCCAAAGGAGACCCTGGGACAGATTGGTGCTTTGGTCAAGCATTTGGCTCTGCATAAAGAGGGTCGAGGCTGGCTTAGTCCCAGGGACTGTACAGCAGCACAAGTTGACGGATATCGATGTCGTATTTGCTCAAGTTACAATAATACCAACAACCAACACATCTAGCAACCGCATCTCGGAGCCAAACCATGGCTTATCCCAGCCGATTACCTGGTGAAAAAACGGATGAAGCCCTTGAACTCGCCCTCCTCCAAGCTGTCCGAGCTGACCAGAAGCCTGATGCGGAACTCCTTCCTCCCCCGCTGGCCGATCTGATACTTGTAAGCCCAGGTCGTCTTGCCCCCGGAGCCGAGAAACACGCCCTCCTGCTGCGTGCCGTCGGCGAGGAAGTGGGCGTGCGCCTGCATCGCCGTGCCACCCTGGCGATTATTAGCCAACAGGAATGCCTTGTCGTCAGAGCCCCGTGTCACGGGCGTCCACTCCTGATAATACGCCAGCAGCGTGCCGTTCGAGCACTTGAGCGCAAGCTTGGCCGACGTGGGCTCAACCGAGATGCTAATCTAGAGTGAAAATGGATGATTGGTCAGTCAGGACTCTGACAGGGTAACGAAGGCAACCCTGGGCGTACTTGGAACCTGGCTGACGCGCCATCCGACACGCGCGACACGTCCGAGCCCGCACCGCTGGCGACCGGCCCATCGTTGTCTGCGGCCCAGAGCACCCACGGCCCGGCCTCGCCAGTGTCGGCGTTGAAGGCTGGGTAGTTGTGGCACTCAGAACCCAGCTGGACGGGCCTGACCTCGGGGAGGGCGTTGGCGGTGGTCGCGGCGAGAGCCGCAGCGTAGAGAGCAGAGAAGGGGCGCATTTTGATGTCGAGTGGCGTTTTGCTAAGGAACTAATCCTGCTGGCCTTCTTGGGGGATTCTAAGCGGGGCTGGGCGAGCTGGCTGCGTGGGCTGGAGGACCTGGAGTCTTGTTGTCTGCCTCAATATGAGAGACAGAGCGCCCCCTTTTTATACCCATTGTCCCCGACTGACGATGCTCGGGAGGCAGATTACATTATATCGAAGGCCGGGGATGGCGCCACTACCACCGCGGTGAGCCACGGCTCTCGATGATCGTTGGTGGCCTTGGCGGGGTGGTGGATGTGGATGTTCCTGTCCGCTGGTGGCCTTGCGCAGAGATGATCGGTTCGGGTGGATCGAAGGAGCAAGGTCCCTGCGGCAGGGCCCTTGCATATACAGGCCAGCTGACTGCGCCGCCTGGAAGCAATGCTTGATATACGTCAAGAAATGCCGAATACTAGCCCTGGGCCTGACTTGAGCATTTCTTTGGTCGCCTTGTGCAGATGAGGCAGGGTTTGGCGAATGCGGGCGGAGTACTTGGGCTCCGATGGCTAGGCACACAAACTGCGGCACTACTGCCCCGGCTCCCCAGATTATATTTTCTGGGGCTGGGGCCTGGAGTCTGGAGCCAAGTGCGACCCCACTTGTTAAGCCCGTTAAGCAACCTTCTCAGACTTCACGTCCGAGATCACAGTCGACCACGATGAGTCAATGGGAAGCCGCCTCATTGGCACGCCTTGTGCTCCGCCACTATGCAGTCAACCTCGTATCAGACCACGGGAGGTGACATGGCGCGCCGCCCACAAGAATGGCACAGCGAGCAAGACGGCCGACGCTAGGAGACTCGCTGCGAGCGACTGGCGGCGCACGCCCTCGCGACTTGACGCCAGGCCAGAGCCGGCCTCGTCGTGGCGATGCCGAGAGCCAGCTGGAGCTCCTGCGGGGTGGCGGGCGTGGCCACCAGCGGCCGGTGGCCGTCCACTCCAGGCCTCCGCGGCGGGGGAGGCGCCTCGCTCGGCGCCGCCGACGCCGACACCACCGACGGAGCGATTGACGACGGCACGCCGGACACGGAGACGGTCAGGCTGGAAACGGCAGTGGCGGCCGAGAACGAGCCCATGGTGGATGACGGTTGAGCCGTAGCGGCACCGACTGCGCAGGCGCACACTATCGACCGGCGCGTTTCCCCAATGGTCAGCATCATCACCCGTCTCGTGGGGGGCGGCATATCCTGTCACTCACTGTTCATGACGCCGTCGATGACGCTCTGGTACGCGACGGCGGGGCAAAAGTCGGCCACGCAGCTCTCGGCGGCGGCCATCATGCGCGCCTGCTGCTGGCGCTGGCAGCCCAGGTCGTCCATGCGGCAGCCCAGAGCCGCCGCGCCGTCGGTGAAACAATACCGCGCGCAGCCGGGCACCGCCGCCGCCCCGACGGCCGCGCAGTCCACGCCGCCGCCGCCGCCGATAGCCATCTGGTTGGGTAGCGCCAGGCTCGGGCTCGGCCTCGGCTGGGCGCTTATGGACCGGGTGGCCGCGGACCCGGTCGCGAGGGCGATGGTGCCGGCGAGAGACGGGGGGTTCATGACGTCGGTCGTGTTCCTGTACGGCTAGTACGGCATCTATCGTTTCGCGTTCCTGCGCTGTATCCCCGCGGAGAAAGTCGCTGGTTGGCAGCCAAGAGAGAAGGTGGGGAGCGGGCCGAGAAGTCTGCTGAGCGTGAGAGCCACCTGAAGTAGGAAGTGCGCGAGACTGGCGGTCCCAGCCCGAGGGCTGCAGAGGCCGGGCGGGCGACGTTCTTTGAAGAAGCCCGGGCGGAGACGTCATGTCAGGCCGTGCGTCTCGTCCCAACGAGCTCGCCGTCAGGGAAACATCATCCGAGGCTGAGGCTCTGCCCGGGGTCTTGGCAAGAGCTTGTTGAAGGGCCCAGCGCCGCCGCTGGGGAAGGCCGACCGTTGCCGAGCCCAGAACGAACAACGGCGGTTGGTGGAACCGCGAGCCCTGGTGCCAGGGCAGGGAAACAAGCTCTGTGCCACAAGATGGGACGACTTTCGCGTTGCAGCCGCCTTTGGGTGTAGCATGCGGTCCATGACGACACTTATTGGTTTCGCTGCTGATGTTTACATGTGGTTCAATCAAGACGCGACGCACAAGAGTCGAGCAGGGCTGGTCTCTTCTCGCTAGACCTCCTGGTTGCGAGGTTCGAGAAGCGAGGGAAACGTAAGCTTTGGCCCAAGTAGGGAAGAGAGAGGACGCCCAATGGAAAACCCCCGAAACACTCGCGGAACCACGTGCTCGGCGGAGCAAGATGTGTGGCAAAAATGCTATCATTTTAAATACAGGTTTGACAAGATCGAATATTTACACTGAAGATAAAGGTCCTCCAAAGGCAGGGCCGCGGCCCAAGCGCAGGGTTCTATACAAGATTCGCAGTTCCCTAGAGTCTTCTCAAACTCTCCCCATGTCATTGTAGGATCAAAGCTTCTGGCCACGGCTGGTGATATCATGCTGGGTTAGCTATCAGGGACAAGACAGGGCCAATAAGTCGGGGCAGTGCTTACATGTTGCCAGCAGGGTCGTAACGGGCCACCACGCTGCAGGTTTGTCAGTGGATGCTTCACAGATAGTTGTCTCATTGCGCAGCTATTGCAACTTACTAGAGCCCGCCCTTGGAGTCTCGCGCAGAGGCCATTCCGACCTTCTTGGTCGTCTTCCACATGCACTGGGCTGGGGCGCGCGGCGGTTCTTGTAAGCAAAGCTCCAGCATTCCCAAAACAGAGACGGGTAGGGTTCACTGACTGTAGTGGCCGTAGCCGGCAAAGTTCCCCTCGGGGATCTTCTCGCCCTTGTACTTGCTCTTCTCGTTCATCCACGACTGGGTGGCACCCTTGAGGCTGCCGCCGGCCGAGATCCAGTAAAGGTTCTCGCCGCCGACGCCGGCGTGCTCGAGCTTGCCTCGCTGGGCGAGCGTGTTGGCCCACGCCTGCGCCTTGGACTGCAGGCCCGAGTCCCACGAGAGCGTCGGGTAGTTGAGGTCATTGCGGCCCTTGTTGTGCAGGTCCAGCGCTGCCTGCTGGTCCGCCGTGAGGGCCGACACGACGCCCGAGCACAGGGCCAGGGTGACGGTGAGGGCGCTGCCGATGTTGAAATACATGTTGGGCGTCGGGGGAGCTTGCTGCTTCTGGGTGTGGTGGGTTGAGGTTGTCGAAGCGAGGAGACCAGTGTGTGCGAGTGGCTGAGGCTGGGGACTCTGGCATCACACTGGTCTCAGATGCAGATCCGGTCCGCCCTATATATACTTACAAAAACACCAGGACAGGCGACATCATTCAGGAGGCTGGCCCATTATCGCGGGTCTCACAACCCCTCGTAACTAGCGCGGGCGGCGAGCCTTGGCCGGAACTGGAATGCCGCGGCGCTCGTCGGCTCGAGATATGCTGTTTAGGGAGTCAAAGGGAGGGCTTCGGTAGACGAGGGATTCGAAATCATCAAATCCGGGAGAACCATGGTCGACCCGACCCCCCGCGGGGACTAGCGGCGGCACAGGCCAGCCCTCTCCTGGCCAAATCTTCGCCGGAATGAGAGGGCCATGGACCTAGCGCCGCTGATGGGGTCGGACGGGCCCGAATGCTAATTTTCTAGAATACTGCCAGTCCCTTTCGGTGTGCCCCTCGGGGACGTGCCCCGAATTGGCGCGTCGGTCAACTCCGCCCGCCGTCGAGGCTCGTCGGGGCTAGTCTCGTGGGAAATCCTACGCGTAATTGCTGACCACCAAAGTCGCCAA